CAACGAGTGCAGGAATAGTGGGAGATTGAGGCAGGGACAAAAAATTCTGCCCAACATGTAGGGGCAGAGTCAAGAAAAAATTGCTGCGTCTGAACAACCTTGACCTTCATCTGTACGCGGAAACAAGCTGACGACATAATGGTAATCCAGCAAAAAAAGTGATGAGTTATTAAACTTCTGGTCTGTATTGTTGCAAATTGTGAATGCAGGTGCCCAGTACAGTCTGATGCATATTTTGTGTATTTGGTCAGTTTATGTTGTGAGGAGGATTGTTATGGTAACGAGATAGATATTAATTGCTCAGTGACCATTAGTTTCTGATGTTCGAGAAAAAATGAAATTGTGGAATTTCGTGTCAAAATACCAAAAGGATTTACAAAGTTGATTAATAAAATGCAGCATAATGTTTCCAGTCACAAGTCAATGGCTGTTTTTTTTTGTTCACAATTGACTATGTTCTGGGAGGAGATGAAAACGAAATGAAAATGAGCATGGATGGCATGTTATGCCGTAATAGTGCAGAAAATGAATTTTGACATGGAGCAAGCAATATGTTTCTAGTTTGTAGCTCGTTCCCAATGCACAAGGATTGAATTCAAATAGTAGAGCAATTTTACTCTACCAAACGAGTATTCAGAGGATACACTCAAACTAGGGTTATGAAATGTTCAGGCTGATGCTGTGTGCATCATTGATGACATTGCAGTTTGTGGTAAGCAGATGCAAATCTTTGGAGAAGTGCACTGCCTGCCCTCATCTCAAAATTGAAATCGGATTTTCTTTTGGATTTTTTTTTAAAAGATCAGTCTTGTCAATTAACTGCTAGCAGAGGAAAAGTTCGTACAGCAACATGTAAAGCTGCTTTGCGTGCCCTCTACCTGAGCGTATTGTGCTTGCCACAACAAGGCATATCAGTGAAAATGAGCACCTGTCCTGACTAGATGCTTAATATGCTCTATTATTTATGAAGTGCTGAAAGTATTTGAAATTAAACAAAGTTTTGTATCTTGCTCTGTCTCTTACCATTGGAACACAGCTGTTCTGTAAAACAGAGACAACAAGGTGCAGGGCTGGATGAACACAGCAGGCCAAGCAGCATCATAGGAGCAGAGAGGCTGACGTTTCGGGCCTAGACCCTTCATCAGAAAAGGGGGAGGGGAAGGGGGTTTTGAAATAAATAGGGAGAGAGTGGGAGGCGGATAGAAGAGGGATAGAGGAGAGGATAGGTGGAGAGGAAACAAACAGGTCGAAGAGGCGGGGATGGAGCCAGTAAAGGTGAGTGTAGGTAGGGAGTTAGGAAGGGGATAGGTCAGTCCAGGGAGGACGGACAGGTCAAGGGGGCGGGATGAGGTTGGTCGGTAGGAGATGGAGGTGCGGCTTGAGGTGGGAGGAGGGGATAGGTGGGAGGAAGAACAGGTTAGGGAGGCAGGGACGAGTTGGACTGGTTTTGGGATGCGGTAGGGGGAGGGGAGATTTTGAAACTTGTGAAATCCACATTGATACCATTGGGCTGCAGGGTTCCCAAGCGGAATATGAGTTGCTGTTCCTGCAACCTTCGGGTGGCATCGTTGTGGCACTGCAGGAGGCCCAGGATGGACATGTCGTCTGAGGAATGGGAGGGGGAGTTGAAATGGTTCGCGACTGGGAGGTGCAATGTGGATTTCACAAGTTTCAAAATCTCCCCTCCCCCTACCGCATCCCAAAACCAGTCCAGCTCGTCCCTGCCTCCCTAACCTGTTCTTCCTCCCACCTATCCCCTCCTCCCACCTCAAGCCGCACCTCCATCTCCTACCGACCAACCTCATCCCGCCCCCTTGACCTGTCCGTCCTCCCTGGACTGACCTATCCCCTTCCTAACTCCCTACCTACACTCACCTTTACTGGCTCCATCCCCGCCTCTTCGACCTGTTTGTTTCCTCTCCACCTATCCTCTCCTCTATCCTTCTTCTATCCGCCTCCCCCTCTCTCCCTATTTGTTTCAAAACCCCCTTCCCCTCCCCCTTTTCTGATGAAGGGTCTCGGCCCGAAACGTCAGCCTCTCTGCTCCTATGATGCTGCTTGGCCTGCTGTGTTCATCCAGCCCTGAACCTTGTTGTCTCAGATTCTCCAGCATCTGCAGTTCCTACTATCTCTGTTCTTTAAAACAAACTGTTTTGTAAACATGTCTTGGTCATATTGTTAACCTGTGAAGTGAGAGTGTGTTGCCACATGTTTGTTATACAGATATTGACTTGCTTTGTATGTAATGATAATGCTTCTGAAGCAGCATTGCTGCAATCTAAGCATTGCTTTGGTGACTATCAGTAATATAGTTACTGTCTGCATGGTCAGTCTCTTACCAAGGGTGCATTTTTAAAGGAGTAAGGGCAGTCATGAATAGCGGTTTGAAGTGATTCACAACAAGGGACTGTCTGCATGTACCAGTTAATGTCTTGCAAAGGTGGTAAGACGGCCTGGCTGAAAGAGGTGGTCTTTACCTTTCCACGATACTTTGTGTCTTTAGCATCTTCACTTCAGTCATCTACTCTTATGAGCCCAGTTGATGCTAATATTGGACAAGTCTGATCCTCGGGTGAAACTTGACTTGTTAGATTCAAATTTTTTTTAAAATGTAGTGTTTACTTGATGTTGCATTCACAAGAAGCTGCCAGTGCACTTTTAACACACAGACTAAATAATTTGTTACGCAAGAATATAACACAGACTACATTACGTGTGACACAACGAGAGGCTGGAAAGATTTCGCGGCAGACATTGGGGAAAACAAATTCAACTCCACAGTATCCCTTTTATTCCAAAAATATTTAAAACATCCAAACCTCAGTGAAGAGTCATGACAATCTTCACATGAGGCTCCTTGCTGACACTTTGGCTAGGACAGCTGAAACTTTTTTTGTAAATGGCAAATATCTGTGCAGTCTCGAGATATTTTTCCTTGCACGTATTGTCTATCCTGGTGATAGCTGAGATAAACTGCAAAATAAAATCACAATCACTTTATCTTCAGAACAAATGCATGAATTTCCCAAATACTGCTTCTAGCAATTTTCTCTTTGCCATACCTGCATACCAGATCTCCAAGATTGTTCAGACTTTCTCCATATCTCTGGATCTTTGTGGCTAGGCAGCAGTTTTTTGCTTACCTTTCTAATGCACAGAACTGTTCACCTCGAGTTTGAAAGTTTGTGAGAATGCATGTAAACAAAACAAGTCTCCATACTCCCTTGACTCTCAAATGAAACTGTAAAAATAATTGTGTCTTTCCTCATTTTTACACCGTTTAACACCATCCACAGCTTGCCTCCACTTCTTAAAACAAGTGGCACCTCATAAATGGGGAATCCATGTAAAATGGCAAGAAGTGGATTGCCTATTGTGTCTCTTGTTCCATAACATTTTACCAGGGGCAAAAAAGGTGGGGGATAGAATAATTGTGTTGCTTAAGTGGCCAATTTGGTGCTTCTCCCCACGGCTGCTGATGTATTACTTGTGGTCAATGGGTCCTCTGCTGCGTGCTGTATCATGCCCTCCATGGTCCACGCTGGTGGTTCTTACAATGAAATCTCCTGTGTTCTCACTAAGCATCACCAGTACCTGGCAGCTGGTCCCTTGAGACTCTTGACAGCACTTATCTTGTTGGGAAGGTGACACCCATTCCCTCAGCTGTGTGGTTCCCAGCAGTGGCCATTGCTCCCAATGGCACTGCTGAAACTGTATAGTTAAAGGGATAAGAGCCTTAACAATGGCTTTTCAATTGGAGATGAACAAAATATGGCTGGAGGTCCCAGAAATGGCTGTTGCAAGATTGCCCCAGTCTTCAGCCCCATCATCAAGGGCTGTGTGACCACCTGCATAAATTATACCTAGTGAGATACTAGCCATGATGATTGCCAGGCCAAGGACTGAGTTAATAACTGTCAGCTGTAAGATATGTAGAAGAGTATTTATATGATGACTTTAATAGGGCCAAGAGAAACCAGTTCACTGCAATTTTTGGTATGTTGGTAGGTGTGCCAGAAAATCTGATCTCTGCCAAGGAGAATGGAGAGACCAGCAACAATTTGGCACAGGGCTTTGTGTAGAAAATGCAGCTAATCATCTACACTAATGAAATAGTTACTACTTCAGAAGAATACTCACTTATCCATCCATGAGGACCAGTGTCACTGCTTCTACTGTAGCACAAGCAGAAACCACCTAATGTCTGAATGCTATTGTGCTAAATGTCACTGAAGCTATGCAAGGTCAACTTGCTGCAATGCAAGTGTAGACTGCTGTTTTGCAGGTTGAACTTGGTGCCATGTAGGTTCAGACTGGGGCTGTCATTGCTGGGATATTAATGTTTAAACGGGATTTCAACATGTTAGTGCAGTCTTGCCTCCAACAGTTGGATTGTTGAATTCCCCCCACGAGTGGCACTGGCACTGGCGACCATGAACTTGGTGTTCTCTCTCCAGGTGGGCAGTATTTGCCCTCCCATTCTGTCAGTTCTAGTGTTACCTGTCAACCAGGAAGTCTAGGCTACTGCCACCCATGTCAATATGGTACTGCCAGAACCTAGGCTTTCTTCATTTTCAATCAACCAATTCAGATATGTCATGACACACCTCTGAGCGGGTGGAATTTGAACCTAATGGCTCAGATGTAGGGACAGTGTCACCTTTCTGTGCGGAGGTGTGTGAGTTTGTCCCGCGAGGCTACCCTTAGTCTCCCTCATTGCAAGCCAGCTGCTTACCTCCATCCATGCTGCAGCCATTGTGCTTTAAGGTGATACTGGTGCAAAGTAAAGCATCAGAATTGTTGTCATTATTTTGGGCATTGCCTTGCATGGAAACTGCGTAAGTGGTGTTTAGTATCTCTAGCACTGAAAAATCAAGTGCTACAGAGCTAGATTTTGAACTGAAGTACATTAATTTTTCAGTTTTTTTTTTAAGCTTTTAAAATTGTGGGCAGAGCTAATGACTGAATTCAAATCTGTATTACCATCTCAATGTTCACAGCAGAATGATGGTCTTCTATCAAGACGTCATGTAAAGAGACATCTGCAGAGGTGGTAACTGAGAGAATATCAACAGCAGTAGATCTGCACTATCTTTCAAGTTGTTTAGTACAGTATCCAGAAGAGGTAAGCATTCAGAGCTCCAGTTGTTGGCTATCGTTTGATAATATAGTACTATCCAACAGAGTGTCTGTAACACTGCCAAAAGCAATGAATATAGAAGTTCTTGCAGTTTAAACTGATTGGGAAAAAATAGTGCGATATCTTTTCCTACAAAAGCATTTTTGAAACTACCTTTCAATGTTGGCATCGGAAGAAATGGAGCGTGAATTTATCAGAATATGTCTGCTTCCAAGAGTTGAATTGTACCGTGACATTGCCTGAAATTTCCACTGGCTAGGCAGTTGTTATGCCAGCATAGATAGGAGTTGTGCATGGTAGCAGGTGCTCTGAAGGAATTGCTCAGGAACCTGAATATTCCACTGGCCAATTCCTGTAAATTCTGATACCTCTAATTCCTCAATTTAAATCAGAGACTTTGGATAATGCCAATTAAAATTAATTAAAACAGTTACTCAAGAACTGGAAGAATATTATATTTTCTGAAGAAGGGTCCCGACCCGAAACATCAGCTTTCCTGTTCCTCTGGTGCTGACTGAGCTGCTATGTTCCTCCAGCTCCACACTTTGTTATCTCTGACTCCAGCATCTGTAGTTCTTGCTATCTCAATATTATATAGTGGAATTCCTGAGTTACTATTGAACAGACCTCACACCCCTCCCTGCCTAACTTAAATTCATTTTCATTCTCACTCTTTTTCTCTTCTCTTCCCTCCTTTTCCCTTTCCCTCAACCCATGAGTGGTCATGTGTGTGGTTTTGTGTAAGAGAGAGTGTGTATGTGAATGAGTGCATGAGTTAGGGTGTGTGCAAGTGAGTGAGTGACAGACGGTGTGTTTGTGTGGACTCTGAAAGTGAGCCAGTCATAGGTCCATGTTTACTTCCCACTAAAACCTACCCAAAAAACAGGCTGCCAATTGACAAAGTCTAGGTTGAAGGACAACCTGCTTCAGAACCCCACATTTGGATGAACTCCACTGAGATCAACTCTGATTGTGTGCGTCTAGAGGTCAGACTATGTTAGTGTTAGTTAAATTCAACTTTTTAGCTCAGCCTTGTCTGATCCACTTCCCATGGAATTAGGACTTGGATCCTAGACTATCTCTTATTATTAACCAAAAATGCATATCAGGATTTTATTTGTTAGTATCGCTGCTTGACGCTTAGTAATGGCCATTTCCTTTCATTACTCATTTAAATAAATGATCAATTTATAGCTTTGGAGATTTTCAGAAATTCAAGTTGCTATTATGCCAAGATGTCATTTTAAAATCTCATCTGCAAAATTGCACTTTTGTCAAGGAGATGCATCTTTAAGGTGGTACTTCTCTAACACTGCACTGAAATATCTGGGAGTTAGATTTGTCATAGATCTTGAATGTAAAAGCTTTGACACAACATGCCATAAAATAAGAAAATCTGATGGAAATATGCTTGCTTAAATAACTGCTACTTTTGTTGTAGTATAAAATTGGATCAATTGCATTCAGTGACTAAGTTATGAAACTGGAATTGAATTATAATTTCAGGAGAGCTGTTTCATCCCAAATATTGTGATGTGGATGTAAATACACTTTTGATGAATGCACTGAAGGACAATCATCAGGGTAATGATGTTACATTAGTAAACTTGTTCCCTTTAATATTTTAGGTAAAAGGATCCTCTTTCTCTTACATTATGGATGAGCAACCTTCACAACAATTTGCTGGTCATGTTGCAGTTTCTGCATTTCCATCACAGGTATTGCTTTTAATTATTTAAAAACTTATTGTGCATTTGCTGCTGTAAAGCTTGTTTCTTTGGTATTTGTTTTTTTTTTAAAACATCTTAAAGTTTTATACAATATCTTCTTTAATTTCAGGACATAGGGCAGTAGTTGTCAAATAATGTATTATTGTGTTATATTGGTTATGGGAGAAATATTGGCAAAGATACCTGGTAGAACACTCCTGCTTGATTTTAATAGTGATGTGGGAACTTTTATGTTTTCCTGAGTCAGCTGATAGGTGTTAGTTTCATGTCCTGTCTGAAAAATGAAAACAATGCTGCTGGCCCTTGGTATTGCACGGAAGGGACAGCACATGGCTCTGAAAAGGAACTTGAACCTGGGAACTTCCTCACCAAGTGGAGAGTTATCACTGAGGCAAGGCTGACAGGACCTAAGCATGTTATTAAAAATGTATTTGGTTTATTGCTTTGTGATTTTTCACAAGACCAGTGGTTCTTGGGCTTGGCCTGTGATGAAACACCATTAGCAGAAATGATTAGGGAAGAATGGTGGTGCATGAATTGTGTTCAGGAATGAATAAAAAGCAATGCTTACCTTCAGTGAAGTTGTGATGGATTTGATTCCAGTCTGGAGCTAGTGTAATTACAAATACATTCTAATTCTGACACTTTTAGATACAGTTTATTTGTAAATTTGTTTTAACATGTGGTAGTTGAAAGCAAATTATCTTCCATTGTTTTATTAGTCTGGTAAAATGGTTTTCAGGACCTTTATTCTCTTGCAGTTAATGTCATTGCTGAGCAATGATTAACCCCAGTGCACTACTCAGTTATTGTTAGCCTTCATTCTTAGTGACTGAATGTATGGGAATCTGCTTGATTCTCTGATAGAAACCAGGATTTTTACAATACGGTTTTTTTTATACATTCATGGAGTGTGGGCATCACTGATTGGGCCAGCATTTATTGCCTGTCTGTGGTTGCCTCTGAAAAGATTGTGATGAGTGGTCTCCTTGAACTGCTGGAGTCCATGTACAGTAGTGGGTAGACCCACAATGCCATTAGGGAGAAAATTCCAGGATTTTGTACTGAAGGGATGGCACCATATGTCCAAGTCAGGAGGTGAGTGGCATGGACGGGAAAGTGCAGGTAGTGGTGTTCCTATGTATCTACTGCTTTTGTCCTTTGAGATGGAAATAGTCATGAATCCGGAAGGTGCTGTCTAAGGAGCTTTGGTGAATTGCTTCAGTGTATCAAATGACTCCATCAGCATTTTAACCGAACACTTCTGGAATTTTCAAAACTTATTCCTTTCAGATAGGTTACCTATCTCCCTTCTCCAGGAGCAAGTGTTTCATACATCCAGCTTCCACCAAGATTTGTGCAAAACTAAAATCCAAAAGGTTTCTTCAAGTTTATGGGTGTTACCCCAGGCTAAAAAAAATTCTGAATCCTACAAATTGAATCTTAATGCACAACTGCTTAATCTATTTGCTCATTCGACTCATCCAATGTAAACAAAACGCTTTCCCCTCAGATCGATCTGTCATTCTCCCTCTCTCATATGCTGTGTTTTAAAATAAATTACCATGATTACAGAAATTCTTACATGTTGATAATTAAACCCCTTAGGAACAAATCAATACCAACACACTCTTGTTCAGTAACCAAACTCACTAAAGTAGATTGTGTTTATATACATATATGTATGTATTAAATTTCACACCTTGAATTACAATGGATCAATACACCTATACTCTATATTATTTGGAATTGTCAATATAAATCATCTGTGTTGCCTTGGGGCACTGAATGTGTGCTAATGAACATGTGTGTGGAAATGTCATGAGTTGCCCATAAGCATTAAAGTTTATTTAACAATGAAATTCTATATTCCATTAGAATGTGACAGTCATCTTAAAGCATTGGGAAAACATGGTTTCCTTTGCATGGTCGAATGTGAACTGAACTACTGAACTTTAAATAAATTAAATTAAATAAGTACTTGATTTACTCAGCCCATCACTCTTGAAGATTCAGAGTGTAAATTAAGTGTTTATGCAGAGCAAGAAAAAACTGAATCATTGCCAATCTCTGTTTCACTGTCTCTCTTCCCTAATCCCTCATGTGCACAGAAATAAAGCCAGAGAAAGCCACAGATGATTTAATTTAAAAAAAATAGTTTTCATTGTTATAAGCAACACAGAATAAATGCAATTTTTCTATTTGGTGTCCCCATTAACTTAATTTTTCCTGATTTCAGGTTAGAGTCAGAAAGGGAATGAGAATGCTGCAAATCTATGACTATCACTCGAAAGAAATGAAGGAAGTTGTATGCGTTCCAGTACTTGGCAACAGAAAGCAGGCAGCATTGTCGTGATAGTGAGGGAAAGTCTGCAGCAGGTTCGCTGACAGTTGAAAACACCTAGCTGCCTGGCATAGGGGTAAAATAGGCATATTAGATGTAATTAAACAGCAAATCAGGATCAGGTTGGGAAAAAAAGCCATCTTATGAGCAAAGGCACACTAATGAATTATATTTTAAAGCCATGTGAGAATTCACACCGACACAGATTTAGCTGGAGAAGGACATCTCTCAGCATGTCATTTGTTAGACTTGTTTGTGCATGTTTACCCAGAGTATTGGAAGTGTGAGCTGAGAACGCCATTATTCTATTGTTCAATGATGCAGCAAAACAACATGGCATCTTGGACCTGTGTGAACAATGGGATAAATGTTTGTGTACAAATAGGCTAAATGGGATCAGGTGAGTTTAATTATTGAGATAAATGTAGAGTAAACGACTGAGCATTGTGAATCAAAGTGTTGAATTTAATGCCAAATGAGAGCCAAAAGGAAATGGAGGGAAAGAAAATTGAACTGGAGCAGAAAAAAGGAATAAAGGAAATCTGATAGTAAAAATGTAAAATCTGGTAGTCTTATATGAGTTGACTTTCTAGGCAAGAGAAATTAAATGGCAGCCACTGACAATTATCATCTGGTTAAGAGGCTACTTGTACTATCATGTACTAGATTTAATTTTTTTCTGTGGAGTTTCATGGACAATCAGTATGAAACTTTGTGCAAAGCATGGGGAGGCTAATTGCAAGATGCTATTTCATTACTTCAATGGCAGAGTGGCCCTAGTTGCCCTTAAATTTATAATTTGCAATTTTTGGCCTGTCTATTCCTGGCAACAAATTGTTGACCAATTTGTGTATTCAAAACAGCATATGTTTAGATGCCTATTTCCTGATCTCACCATTTCTTTTACAAAGTGATGATGTATGTGCATTAAATGCAATCTAGATACCAGTATTTATTAATATAGTTGGCACAGCCTCAAGTAATAAGCGTTGCATATTGTCAGCTGCGTGGAAAATACAAGTTCTTCAAGTTTTAATCCATAGGAGAAAAACACTCTTGGAATAGAGCCAAACTGGGACCAAACTGCTCGTCAATGAATCAGATTGATTTACTTTATTAAGCGAGCATCAGACAGAATGAGAAGGAGTCTCACTGCTGACACATTGTGATATTAGAGGATCATGTAAAGTGTATGATTTACTTATTCGTACGTGCAGCAAGAGTGCAGGCTCAGGTTAAAAAAGGCTTGTGAAATCTTTTAAAACTACATACTCAGAATAAGTGCTCTTTGACTTTGGATGGTGTACATTGTGGAATTATGAGGTTTGCTTACATTTATTTACTCTTGAGCCCGGGGATCATATGAAGTCAGGAACAGGAGTAAGCCACTTAACCCCTCTTACACTTGTTAGCCTGAATCTCCTGTAATTTGCTCAGTGCCACTTGACTAGTTATTGTAATTTTCCTGAGGTCCTTCCTGTCTTTCATTTCTTGACTTGTGGCTATTTCTTGATGTTCCTTGCATTAGTCTTCACAATTGAGGATGCAAAATACCTGTTCAATTCATTTGCCATCTCCTTACTTTCCATTTTGTATTCCCCAGACTTGTCTTCTACAGGAGCAAGTTATTTTGTTAACTCTTTTCTGAAAAAAAATTGTAGAAACTCTTCAAGGTATGCTTTTGTATTTCTAGCTAGCTTTATCTTGTACTGTAATTTATCTCTCCTAACCATTTTTTTTCATTCTTTGCTGTTTTATATTCTGTCCACGCTTCTGAGTTGTCTTCCATCTTTGTGTAATTATAGATGCTTTCTTTAGGTTTGATGCTCCCATTAACTTTTCTGGTTAACTATGGATGGTGAGTCCTACATCAGGATTTTTATTTCTTCTTGAACTGTCTCTATTCTTTGTATGTTGTCTGCCATTGCATCTCTGTTGATTTATTCCTTAGCCTAATTTGCCAGGTCACTTTAGCTAGCTAAGCCTCCATTCCCTCATAATTGCCTTTATTGAAGTTTAAAATACTCGTCTTGGATGCACTCTTCTGTCCCTCAAACTGGATGTAAAATTCAATCATATTGTGGTCACTGCTTCTTGGGTTCCCACACAACAAAGGCATTAATCCATTCATAAAAACCAAAAGAACTGCGGATGCTGTAAATCAGGAACAAAAGAAAAGTTGCTGGAAAAGCTCAGCAGGTCTGGCAGCATCTGTGGAGGAGAAAACAGTTAACGTTTCGGGTCTGGTGACCCTTCCTCAGAACTGATGGTGGCTGGGAAAACGTCAGTTTATATGTGGAAAATAGGGAGGTGGGTGGGGTAGGGAGTAAAGGATAGGATAGAGTCCAAAGAGAGAGAGAGACAGTTGGACAGACAAAGGAGTTGCTAACGATCAGGCTGGGAGGGTGAATAGTTGTTGATGGGGACTGTAAGTGATTAAGAACAGGGGGTGTGTAGTGGCAGGCTATGTGGTAACAAGGCCTGGTGTGTGGGGTGGGGGGCTAGGACATGGGAGAGTTTAGGCCCTAAAATTATTGAACTCGGTGTTGAGTCCGGAGGGCTGTAGGGTCCCCAAGCTGAAAATGAGGTGTTGAATGAATTAATCCATTCATGTTGTGCAGTGCCAAGTCTATTATCATCTGTT